GGAGCCCGGGCGGGCGGGAGCTCGCGAAGTCAGCCTCGGAGCGGCGCTAGCCAGGGCCCGGCCCTCCCTCGCGCGCGACCTTTAAACGCCCCCGCCCCCGGCCTGCTCCCACACCGCCGGGGCGGGGCCGAGCGCGCGGCGGTCCCCGCGGAAGCCCTTCCCCGCCCTCGCGTTCCCTGCCCTTCCGTTCCGTTCGGTTCGTTCCCCCTGGAGACCGCGCGCGACCGTCCCGCAGAGGTACAAGGCATTTTCACTGGTAGCAGGAGAGAGCCTCCGGGAAGACGAACTCGGGGTAACCGAGCCACTTCTGCTTGTCCAGCACTTCCGGGCTCTTCCCCACAAACAATGCAACAGTCCTAGTTTATGACACCATGACATTCAAATTACGGCAGAGGGATTTCTGGGTACTGTCAAACGAGGACGGAAAGGAAGTTTAGAACGTGTCAGAAGGTCAGCGGAGTATTCCGCGAGGAGTAGTAGCAAAAATGAAAAGATCTAGGGCTGTTGGAGAAGCCACGTAATAATCCCAGGCCCCAACTGGCAAACAAATAAGAATTTGAGTACATGAGCTACGAAAAAATAATAAAAATTAAAAAACCTTTTGATGAACTGAGATTTGCTTTTAAAACATATTAAAATACATTTTATCGTGGTTAATGTTTTGGAAAGACAAGCCTTGAGGTCAAAGATAGTACTGTCCGATCCAAGGTCTATCCCTTCCGCCATCTGAGACCTTGGGTAAGGTCCCTTCTAAGGATCAGTTATTTGCGTAACTCGCAGATAAGACAGTCCATGTTTCAGGGCCATTCCGAGGTGAGGGTTAGGCAAAGTGACAGAACAGTGAGTCACAAACGCGTGGGCCATAGGTGTTCCCGGATCCTGCCCCTGAAAGTACCGCGTACTAGACACAAAAGAGACTTTAAAATGAGTACATTCAGCACAAAATAAAATAGACCTGGGTGCATTCTCCCTGGACGATGTATGTACGAAGTGTATTTATGCTAACCGGCAGAGCAAAAAGACTAAATCTCTATGCACATGCATAATGGATTCTGCTTGGACTTGCCTCGATGATCAGATAAAGAAAAACATTCTTGATAAAGGCTACAACAAACCCTACAAGTCATCCTAAGGAGGAGGTCTTAAAAGAACAGTATTTTTTTTGAAGACCAACGTGAAATGATTTCATATAGGAGGAGAATGGGTGGGGTGGTTGCACACGTTCTTTCCTCTTGGTTCCCAGCTTTGAATGGTTTGGGCACAGCATTTTGCTGGGTAAGGTATTTGTTTGTACGTATAATTGTATAGTTATCTTAACAGCTGCAGTGATGCAAGACACAGGGTCTAGAAAGTGTTGTGGGTTTGATAAGTGTTTGTGAATAAATTGATGCTGTCATGTAGTTTCCATTAGTTAGCATCAGAATCCATTATGCGTATGCATAGAGATTTAGGGTAGAAAAAATGTTCTCCCAATTTTCAAAAGCATTTGACTCTTAACTCCAAATATTATAGACATCCACTTTCACAGAATACAGTAAGGATTGGTAAGCATATGGTTTGTGAACATACATAAAGTAGCGTGATAAATGAGCACATGCTTTTGCTGTAAACTCTTGGCTTATATATTTCCTTGTCTATAAAATTCCCACCATTGGTCTTAACCATCCAGCAGAAAAGTGTAAGAATGAAGTATAAGAAGTAAAGCCAAGTTGTTATGTTGAGCTGTAGGGGACTCAGGTCAACAACTTCTGACATTGCCAGTCAAGCGGAAGACCCAATACTATTATGGACTGCTGGACTATTTTGGAATATTTTGCTGAGTTCACACACCCATAATATTTAAATGACAGAACTAAACAAAAAAAGGACGCTACAGGTGAATGACCATTTTGTATCTGTGTATTCAAAATGGTTAGGATAGATATACAGCTACACTCGGTATATTAATTCATTGAGTAGAGGAATTTGTTCTAATTGTGTTTGTAAATAGGATATCATGTCTGCATCTTGTACAACAAATAACCACTAGAAAGACAGTATGCAATGTGCTATTTATTGAAACTGTACCAATTTGATTTGAAACTGTCTCATTGCTATTTGTTTCTCAATAAAATTATGGAAAAAAAAATCTCCCACCCTACTCTTGTCAGGTCTATTTATATTGTCATGTTTTTATTGTTATAAAATAATTCCACTAACTGGATAATTTATACAGAACAGATTAAATCAGGTTAACAACAATCTCATCCTTTATCATTTCTCTGTGGTGAAAACTTCCAAAATCCCTCCAGTGTTTTGGAAGGTACAATATATTATTGTTACCCATAGTGACCATATGGTGTAATAGACACCAGACCTGATGGGAACATTACACAATGTAAGCATGTATTGAAATAGCATGTGGTTCCCCATTAATATAGACAGTATTTAAGGCTTTTCATATTAGGCAGATTCTAGGAAACTGGAAAGACCAAAGTCAAGATGCCATCAGGACTGGTGTCTTCAGAGAGCCCAGTCTCTTGTTGCCAAGGTGGCACTTTGTTCCTGTGTCTTCACATAACCGGAGGGGTAAAGGCGAAAGCACTTGATCAGGTGCCTTTAGCCCTTTGCAGAAATACCAGTTCCAACCATGAGTATGGAACTCTTGTTACCTAATCCCCTCCTCATAGCACCACCTCTTAGTACTGGATTTTGCAGGCATCAGAAACATTCACTTTGTAGCACTTTCCTCAAATTCCACCTTTCTCCTTAAACCATGACTCTTCATCCCAACAAATCAACTCATATGCTGAACACATAAGACCTCTTTGATTCTCCTAAAATGTTTTTTATCTTTTGTTTCAAATGGGATAATAGTTAGGCAAACTGCCTTGTAAAATATAAAATGTCATAATAATTGAGTGTTTATTGAGCACCTATTCTGTGCTTCATGTCATCTCTGTTCCATTACACATAATCTGTGTAGTTTCTGTAGACTGAAGCACCCAAAGAATAGGGAAGCTGTGGTAATCACCTCCATACCCCCAGCACAAGTGCAATGCCCTGCACGGAGAAGACATTTAATAAAGTCTTTGTTAGGAACTTCAGCAAGTCTATATGGTGGCTGTGTCTGTAATCAGTCAGAGGGTGTGACTAGGCTGCAGCAAACAAGACAGTCTCTGCTAAAACTGAAACGCATCATAATCATTTTATTTTAATACATTGTATTAGTATTACTGTATGAATTAGCGTTATATTATTAGTATTAGTATTATATTCATATTATTGTACTTTTTAAACTCTGTTCAATAGTGGGTGTTTAAGATTCTACACCCTCCATATAATTTAGGATAAGTTTAGAAAATGACACTACCTGAATTGGTTTTCACTGTTATAGATAGAAACCAAAGCCCTGTGTGTGTCAGGCAAACACTATGCCACTGCACTATATATTTGCACCTTCTCATTACCTGAATTTTGCTTTAAAAAAAAAAAAAAGAACCAAATAAATTTCATTCAAAGAATTACCACTCCAATCCAAGGTGATTAATAACTATAGCTGAGGAGAGATGGCTCAGTAGAATAAGCACTTCCTTGGCAAGCACAGGGTCCTGAGTTCAATCCTTGGTTCCACAAAAAAAAAAAAAAAAAAAAAAAAAAAAATTATAGCTGATGACTAATATTGGTGAGTTTCTTGCACTTAAAGCTATAACTGATATTTATTTATTTACTTAATGTATTTGATATAGAGTCCCACTAGGCATCTCGGACTCATAGTGATCCTCCTGTCTCAGCCTCCCCAGCGCTAGGATTACAGGAGTGCGCCACCATACTTGGTTTTGGTGGCTGGCTCAAGGCACCCAGGGGCAGGCCTGGCGTGGCATGTGGGACCAGGGATCAAACCCTCTTTCCTGTGCTTGCCAAAGCAGGCGTTTATTCTGCTGAGCTATCTCACTGGCCCTATAACTGATATTTAAATAGATTTTCTTATTAGTCTTATTGATATCCCTGCCTTCAATCTTTTTAAAATTTTTTTTTGAATTTTATTAGCTTTTACTACATGATCTATACTTATACCTACGGTAGGAGATTAGTACATGAATATAACACATTTCAGGGCCGGTGAGATAGGTTGGTTGTCTAAGTGCCTGCCTCGCAAAAGCAAGGAGCTGAGTTCGAGCCCCAGAACCACATGACCTGCTGGCCCCACCCCGGTGCACTGAGCCTGCCAGGCATGGTGGCACATGCCTGTAATCCCAGTGCTGGGGAGGCTGAAAACAGGATCGCTACAAGTCCCTGTGCCAAAGTTCATTAATGTATTAATGTACCAAATACATTTTTAAAAGAACACATTTCAATTCCTTTCTTTCTCCCCCTTTTATTTTTTTCTTTCTCTCCACTCCTTTTATTTTTTTAGCATCATTTATTTATCTTATAAAGCCTTATAAAGTTAATTATCAGATATACAGATTACAAACTAGATTAATAGGCCAAAGAATATATAAAACATGTGCCTTTTTTTCTTTCCCTTGAGAATCAATCTCTGTTGCAGTTGTGATAAGTCTGTTATTTTCCAGTTCTATAAGGAATGAGGGAGGACTCTCATTTCC